GGAATCGTTACAAATGCATTACAATGGTATTTTCTTCGTTGGGCAGGTTCATCAGATGATCCAACAGTTGAATTATCCGGTCCGCATATTTGTGAATTCGACAGTAATACTATGGAACAAGTAAAGATAATTCTTAGTTGTATTGCCTCCATCCTCCAATATCAAGTCCGAGGATATGACGATGACTCAAAACGTACCCGTATTAAGAGGCGTCGTACTAATTAGATTTGTTCTAAATTAGCCTTTTTTATATGTATATCATGTTTTTTGAACATTAACTGGCTGTTTACAAACCGTTATTTTGAATGGTTAATAAAAATTTAAGGCGGGTCTTATATATATGGTATAGTGTTTTGTGATATTTTTCTTTTTTTACTCATTGGTCTTGATTTGCCATCAATTGACACCTTATCACTGGTATATTGTTACGGTTATCAAATTACCTTGATCTCGCCAAGTTGGGATAAAGGAATTTTTGATTTCTCCGAAGTAGTAACCATTATTTGTTGAAGGATCGGGTTAATATTGACAATTTTCCAGCTAATAAGAGGACCAAGATTAAAAAAATATAATAGGGTAGATAGTTTCTGACAGAAACGATTTCAGTGTCCGCAAAAAATAGTAGATCCCAAATAATCTACATATTAATAAAGCTATCCCTGGTGGCCGATTTCGCATACATAATCAGTTTACTTTGCATGTGTATTTCGTGGATTTATTTATTGTATTGTTATAAACGTATATTAGATGCAAAGCATCCTTACTCCGTGAGACTCACATACGATCGAAAATTTTTTGATAGAGCGTGAAATGTTTTCACGCAGTCATTGAATTTTTTGTGAAGTGATAGAGTGTGAAATATTTTCGCGCAGTCATGTAATTGAGGATTTTATTTTTTATTTGTTCACGTAGCATGTATTTCTGTTTTCATCATATAAAAAAATTTATATCTCCTCAATAAAGAATTGAATATATCCGTATTTTATATAAAAAAATGGCAAATACACAATCTAAAGATGATTCATTGAGAGAATTGAATTACAAGCTTGTAGCCGAGATTGATAAACTTAGGAAGGAGAATGCAGAAATACCTGAACTTAAAAAGAAATGTACTGAAATTGAAACCGAGAATATAGAACTTAAAGCTGAGAATATGAAAATTAAGGCTGATAATGCGAAGTTAAAGCAAACTTTAAAAGAACATGAAATCAGAATCACGAATTTAGAACAAAGAGATAAAGAAAAAACTGTTACTAATGTTTTACAACAGGCAGAGGGAAGAGATGAATTCTCGAGTTTACAGCTTATCTCTGATTTGTCTACAGTAAATTCTAATAATATTCCCGTATCTTCAGAAGTTAAAACGATCGATGAGTTTCAAGATCAAAAAGAAAAGGAAAGGGTTAGTAATATGATAAGTAGAAAAATAGAGAAAAGAAGCTTCAATGTGAACTAACCGAAAATCGATCCCAGAACTTAATTTCAGTTATTTCTAAATCTCCAGAGCAAAATCATGTAAGTGGAAAAGAAAAATGCCAAGAAATTTCCGTCACGAACTTACGTGACGATTGACAAAATGAAACTAACGCTGAGGAACCTGATGAAATTGAACCCATTAAAAGTCAGTATATAGAACAAGGATTAATAAAAGAATTGCTTAATAGCAACCGTCAGTTATAATACCAGAATATCGAACGTTTCAAATTACAACACAAAGCTTAGTCCATTTATTTCATTATGCATTACGATCTAGGCATGAAGAAATCCTAGCATGGTATAATTACTCAGATAATTTTGAAAATAGAGTTATCGAAATTTGCCATGAATTAGGGGTAACAGATAAAACTGCCAGAACGCAATTATACAAGGAAATGTTAAAAAATCTACCTGGTATTACATCAGGAAACTTGCGTATGAAAACTTTAAGACCTAAAAAAATTCAAATGCTATTTGGGGAGAACGGAGTTGGAATAGATAAAATCAAACAAGTTACCTACAGTATATATGCTATCTCTACTCTTACTAATAGCCAAATTCAAAATGTTATCAAGAATGTAACTTCAGCAAAACCTTTATCAGAAACTAGCATGAATCATGAAAATCAAACTAGTGCAGAGATAAGTATACCTACTGAATTTCAAGTTTCCAATTCATCAAGCTCTAAACCATCTCAAGAAAATGATCAAGATGAGTCAAAGACTTGAAGCTCTGCTTCCTCGGAATTACCAGAAGCTGAGGTAAATGCATCTACTGAAGAAACAGAGTCTCGAGTCTCTGACTCTGCTAATTCAGAAACAGAGATATGCATGCCACCTATATCTCAGGTAAATATATCTAACAAATTCCGACTTCCAATTTCTATTTTACCTAACAATCCTGAGGAAAAACGAAAACATGTAATAAAAATGGTATTGGAACGATTCACTAATTTATCTTTTAAATGTAGTAGTAAATACACTGATCATTTCAATTGTACAGAAACATGTCCTGTATGTAATAAAGAGCATAAAGACGATAATGTTAGTGGTGAATGGGGTAGTGGTGATTATTATGGTGAAGAAACTTATCGTCTTTATTGTAGGAAGGTATATCAGAATGGAATCCAAATGGTAACTGTGAAAAAAAAGAATATAAAAGAAAAGCAGAAGGACCATATCAACAAGGTATTGAAGCAGTATCCGGGTATATCTTTGAGTTGTAGTACTAATTCTAATGATATATATCATTGCAACACATCTAAATCCTCATGTCCGTCTTGCAATTTAAATCATAAGGAAAATATCGTAGGCCAGTATGAGAGAGGATCTTATAATATCAGATGCATGTTTAATTACACAGGTGGAATTGATGTAACAGCATAAATAATCACGTAAAAATAAAGAATAAACGATGGTGGGGTATGGGAACCCTTCTTTATTTAATAAATTTTTTTTGTCTAAACGACAATATACAAATATATATTTTTATTATATAATAAAAAAAGGTTGGTGGGGTTTCACATTTGATCTAACATTTCCTGCTGTTCACCGGGATTCCTATAATCATTATCATCATTTTCCTCTTCCCTTTCTAAGTTTTCTCTCGAAAGATTGTCCAAGGGTCTGCCTTCATCAACGTTATAGTCATCATCTTCTCTGGAGTCATAGGTTGAATCATCTAATTTAATGCACAGACATGGCCTGATGAAATGAGTTTTAGCCTTAGTCTTACAAATATATGAAGAGTGCTAATAAAAAGTTACCTCCTATCATATCTGTTTCTCCTATTATTGTATTGACGATTGGAATTAGATGTCCTTTGGTTAGGTCTTGGATTGGGCGGTGTTGGGAGTACATAATAGGTCTTAGAGGGGTTATTGTCATTAGTCGTAGAAGTGGTGGCGCTATTACTCGTGGTGGTGGCGTTATTATTATTGGTCTTGAGGGTGTTACTATTGTTGGTCTTGGGGGTGATGGTAGTTTTTTTATTACTGCTCATTTTTCGTACCTAAATACATAGTAAGAAAAAAATTCGGTTTCATAGCTAAAGTAAAATGAAATAACACAAATTACTTAAAAAAAATATACAGGCAAGTGAATCAGGTAAAAAATATATGAGCAAAAAATAACATTATTGGTAACTTACCTTACTGACAAAAATCGCTTATTTTTATACTGCTCATTCGATAGATCTAAAAAACCTGCCAGAAAAAAAAGTTACATGATTAGTAATTGCGTTACCCTAACACAATACCAGATCCAGCCACGTAAAGCAATCCCGTTTGGCTATAAGTTCCAAATACTGAATCCATTTTGTCGTTTTTTAGGTAAAATTAAACCCCCTTAGATTTGACGATCACTACTACGAAGTGAAAAAAAGTTGACGATCTGGGAATTCCAAGTTCCTGCAACATATGAATTTTGATAAAACTGCTGATAAAGAACGTTATACTCTTTTCTCTTATAGCCCTAGTCTTATGACTTGTATTACCGTAACGATCAGGGAACGATCAGGGAATGTTAAAAAAATCATGACTTTATACCTTATCGTTATAGCATAGTGATAGTAAATTCTAGATAAGCCACTGTTGAAGTGCTGTTGGCTTTTTTATAACAAATCTATGTAAAATCGCTAAGCCACTGTTGAAGTGCTGTTGAGTCACACTCTATAATAGTAATAAAACCAATCAAGATAGCGCATGAGATAACGAATGAAATAATTGGTTGCGATAACGAACGAACATAACTAGTCGAGATACCAATCAACGATAATCGGAAGATAACCACTACCTAATACATGCAATTATAATTAAATATAATATAGCAATGTTTAACTTTATACCTATATAGTAGTTATCATTACAATTTTTCCGCTTCAAAATTTATATTATACGTACTATTTAAGTAATTTGGGAGATAATTCTATTTAAGGTTCTTTGTAGTTGTACTTTGCCTTTCGACTTAATACATTTATGAATAATTATAGTGATATATTCGAAAATAAAATGTTAATTGCTTATTTATTTTCTGAAGTATTTTTTGAATTGGTGTTTTACATACAGTTTACTGTTACTTTAAAGCTTTTTTTATTAAGCACGAATATAGCATCTTTCTAGCTGGCACAAATTGACTCAACTCGGAAACAACTTTAATTAGTAATAACTTATCATTACATTGTTTCTATAAACTATTTATCAGTGACAAGATAACAATTCATCCATCGGGAGAATGTGCACTTATAGAGAAGTACAACTACGTATAAACTGTGATAAGGGTATTCTAAACACAATATATTTTGTTATGAAATAAAAATGACTTACATGACTTAACGGTCCCATGGGTCCGCTTTTATTTTGGCTTAGGTTATAATGCGTACGTACTTTATTTTTTTCTAGCATAGATCATTGGCAAAATAAGTCACAAACGGCTGTTATTTTTGAATGATTATTAACGTGGTTGTGCTAAATTAATACACATTTATGTTTGCAGGTATTTGTACAGTATTTACACTTCTGCTAGATTATATTGCATAAATAACGAAGTTATTCTAAATTTGTAGATCCAACTTAAATATAGCGTGTAAAATAATTACTTGTTGTGTGCTGAATTTAGTAATGCAATTGTTTGTTAGTTAAATGATTACAACGACAAATAAAGATTTAGTTGACCTGTGTTGAATTATCGTAATGCCGAATCATTTATATTGTATACTGCTTCGTGTCAGATTCTTATGTACTAAATAATAATAAGTCGTAATTTATCATAAAAAGGTTAACTACAAAGTCCTGTTCCGAATTTACTTATTTTTCTCAAATTTTTATAAAATTGCTTACCATATTATCACTATATTGTCGCCAAATATTTTATCGAAGGCCTCCAAGAGGAATCTATGTAAGAAAGAACTACGCATTATAAAAAAAGCTAAAATTGAAAAATCCGATAGCCCAATCGTCGGAGAGGGTGATTCCATACTCAATTCTAGCGCTAATCAGATCGAAGAAACGAATATATTTTATGATCCTCTAAAAGTATGTAAATTATCTTTTATTACATTTAGTTTTTAGTATAGTCTTCTTAGGGGTACTTTTCGCCTTTCGAGGCAGGCCTAGGATCCGAGTATTCCCTCTCTATATAAAGTTATTTTTTCATCTCGGGCGTGATCGTCATTCTTGAAGTGGGGCATGTGTAAAGAGGAAGGTGACACAGACTTCATGGGTTTTAAACCCCCCAAACCACATCACTGAAAGTGATTCGAATGTATCCACCGAGAAGATTTTATTACTATTCAATATAAAGTATTTTTTCATATATCAATTTACCGGTTTTTTGAATATATATTTTCTAGCACAAAACTCAAAGCAAGACCCGTCTATCTAAGAGCAAATCACATGAATATATTCTATCTTACTGGAAATCCGAAGATTTCATGGCAAGCGATCTTAAGTCAAAGAATGATTTGCAATCCATTTTTTTAATGGATCCAAAGATCACCTTTTTCGAAAAATTTGCAGAAAGAAGACGGCAACGAGAAGTTATTAAGATGCTACTGGACTGAGAATTGCTTTCATTAGATGCTGTAAAGCAAAACACCTTTTCTCTTAAATATGACGCTCTTTCTAAATTTGAACTAGAAAATGTTTGGAGCGAATTATACAATTCAGAAAGATCACTACCACCCCAAACCACACAAATTATTCATCCCATTTTAACTACCTTTCAAATACCTGCTGAATTTATTGATTTACTAGAATCAGAAATTTTTGATCACACCAAACCCACAAATAAAAATTCTGATTTAGCATAGAAGCAATTCGCTTTGTGGACATTTTTTGCAATCAGTTCTTCTATTATAAAGCAGATTTGTAACTATTGTCAGTGCCCCTGGTCTAAGATAAAGCATGCATATCAGCAACATGTAAAAGCAGAAAAGTTTCACTAAAGCAAACAACAATATCTGAGGCACTTTGTCGAAATTTAAAAGACAAGCAAATTATTGCTAGTGTATTAACTGATAAGATGTCTGAGGAAGATGTTAATATAAAAGGGTATCACCATATATTCGACTCACAATGTTTTAAGAATGCTCTTGGGGAAACAATGGTGGATTTATACACTTTTCAGAGTTCCAGGATCACCAAAAGTGCAAAGATAGCAGTGGAACAATACTATGTTCACATGCTTGATAATTTGTCTCACCAGTCCAAAGAATTTTCGAAAGAATTGGTCGAGCATTTTGGTGCTTTTACAGGCAATAATAATGAACCTTATACAACATCAAATACTGCCTCATCTCACAACTGAGGTCATTTAAAATGTGTTCAAGGATTAATACAAGGCCTTCAACCATTATCTGATGCTGTTAATGGTTATATTAAGGAAACATATTCAACCTTGTATACAAAAATGAGAAAACTTGATCTTGGATCAAACATCCCTAAATCCTTTGGAGGCTTTCCTACTATAGCAATTAATTTCAATGCTATTTGCCAGTTCCATCGGGATCTAAAAGACCACTGCAATTCACTCTGTATTGTGTGCCTACTTGGAACATTTAAAGGTGGACAATTAGTATTTCCTGAGTTAAAACTAATAATACATGCAAAACAGGGGCAAGCTATTGCTTTTAGATCGAACATTTTAGTTCACGGGAATCTTCCGGTTCTCATAGGCATATGTCATAGTGTCATATTTTTTATACATGACACTATGATTAAACAAAATAGAAAATTTGGCTCCCTATTTTGCGATTCAGATTCAGATAATGAAATGGGTATAAACATAAATTGTGATAAAAAGAAGGTAAGGTTACTGCAAAAAAATAGATATTCTTCCAAGTCTGGTTCTAAATCCCTACCAAAATTAAAAAACTCGAGACGAGCTAACCTCGGTGAGTGTTAAATTTTCAAGTTTGGATCTAGAGATATCTAGTGTTTATAATACTATATTTGTCTCAAACTGCTTAAAGATCTAGAACCTACAAAGCAAGGCTTGTCAGCGAAATACAAGAAACAATAAATATTAAATCATAATTTAGCGTATGATTAACATTCTTCTTAATGTAGTAATGAACTCGATTAAGTGCACAGGCCCGATTGCATATCTGCGGGGTAAACTTGAATGATAATGATTTCAGCCATTTTTATATATAATACAAAGAGTCCAACATGTGTATTTCCCAACGACACAAAAATGAATTGCGATATTCATTAGTATATAGTTATTAAATCAAATAGGTCTAAATCCCTAAATACAATATAAATCACATAATCTCAAATTACTTAATCATTAAATATGGTCTATATAGATAATTGTCCAGTTTTAAATGATATCGAGTGGAGAGATAACTGCCAATTTCCAGTAATTCGTGATGGGGAAACACCATCTAATTGGAAGAACTGAATCTGAAATCAATTAGTAAATTATAGAAATAATAATAAATTGACTAATTACAATAAGCGATATCTTATTGCCAGAAAGATAGAATCTACAGAAGGATTCAGTTATCGTATGGCGGTTAAAGTGAATATTGCTATATGTTATAGCTGTGATCAGTTTGTTTATGTTGATAAAAGAGTAGGATATGAATTATA